TACACTTTCGCAACGCGAAAGTCAAATTCGCGTTGCAATTTTCGCGTTACGAATTTGGCTTTCGCAACAATCGCAACGCGAAAATTACAACGGGAATTTGACTTTCGCGTTGCGAATTCAAGGAAAACACCTTCAAAAAGATAACAGACAACAATTTGATAAGTGATAACAATTGAACATATCATAACAATGTTCAAACTCAAGTTACTAATGCATGTCTAATTGAAAATGTATGCATTCACATATAAAATACACATAATACAACGTTTGAATTAAAAAATCACCTAAGTTAATAAGTCCCAAAAGATGAAGCCGATTGTGATTGAGATTTTGATTTTGATTGCGATTTTGATTTCCTTTTGCTTGGCACCATATGAGCTTTGGATTTTGATGAGGATCCATATTTTGGTAGAGGAAAAGATAATTGTGATGGCACTGGTGATCCACAGGTCAACCTTGTATGACCACTTTCCTTGCACCGAATACATGTTGATATCCTCTTCTCTTCACCCTTAGACGGTATACGATCGTGATTTTTTGGTTGGCCAGGTAGCCTGCTGTCCATGACTGGTGGCAAAATTATTTGTAAGTCATCTGGTATGTCCCACTCAGAAGGATGTGGAATAGGGTAGACAATCTCGGCATAAGTCTGTCGATATACTTCTGTAGTGTAGCAATCCATGGCGTATGTGCTTGAATCATCTTGGTTTAGATGAAGAGCAACTCTTATAACATGGCCATAAGGATAACCAGATGTTTGCCATTTCATACAACTACACGTCTTTGCATTTAGCTCGACAAGCCCAATTAAGTTATTATACAATACTTCAAACAAAGTGTTTGATCATGGTTCAACTCTCCATGACGTTGACTTCACAACACGTTTCGTTATCTTTTTTCAGTCCATGGTGTAACACGAAGTTCCAATGTTCCTGTAAATTTAAATAAATAATACTTAGTAAAATATATTAAATATGATAAGTTACGAATTTAAAGAAATAATACTTACATGGTTTTTTTTCTTGTAGTACTACTGTTGAATAGAGGCTCGAAAAAACTCCATTAACATAGTAATGGGTAATTTTCGGGAATGACAACATAGAGCGTTGATTGATTCTACACTATTAGACATCATGAAACCATATCTTGCTCCAAGTTGATATACTCTTGACCATCTTTCAAACCCGACATCTTCTAGTGTTTGAGCACACTGAGGCAAAACATGTCTTAAACAGTTTATATGCTTATTAAAATCCACTTCCCGATAAGCTTTTACAACTTTCCAGTATGTCCATTTGTGATTTTTTATACCAGCAGACCTTGATTTTAGATTTCTATACAAATGAACACCACAAAGTCCATGAAAAGCATCTGGGAAACACCTTCTAACAGCGTTGTCAATTGAGTTTGCCCTGTCGGATATGATTGTCAGATTGCTAATAGGACCTATGCAATCCCTAAGATGCCCCATAAACCATGTCCATGAATCAGATGTTTCAGATTTGCCAACCCCGTAAGCTATTGGCAGTATACCATTGTTAGCATCCATGGCTACTGCTAATAAGTTTACTCCAAGGTATCGACCTTTTAAATGTGCTTCGTCAACTATAATAACTGGGCGCATGCAATTAATAAACGAACGAATCTACAAAATCATATACACAAGAAATATAATCATTTAAATGTGAAATGCATGTAACTAACAAAAATGAGTCAACAAAATTATATTGATTTACTAACCGCAGCACCAATGGCGATAAACAGCAACTCAAAGCGTCCATCTCTATCTGTTTTGATATGAGTTACCGACCCAGGATTTTTCAGCTTTAAATTGTGACAATAAGCTGGCAGTTGGGCAAACGATGCTTCTGGCGACCCCCTCAACAATTCCAAAGCATAACATTTGGCTCTCCAAGCTTGAGAATATGAGATACTAATCTTGAATCGAGCATTCATGTCAGTCATAATTTCATGTCCCCGATATACCCTACCATTCAAAAACATTAACTCAGCCAGAAAACCACCCAACACCTTTTTGTTTCCCTGTCTATGGTGAGGAAAAACTTGGGTTCTTGAACATGTATATTTATCAATAAAAGTCCTAACTTAAAACATTTCGCAATCTTTTATCCTCTTTGTAATCATACGTCACGTACAGTTTTTGTCAATCATACACTTTGTTTCGAAACGGTCTTTGCTTGATTTGTTAACTTTTAGTTTATAGCCATCTTCCACACATTTCGTATACAAAGCTATCTTCAAGTCTTCCTTTGTATCAAAACAAACATCTTTCTTGATACAAATAACTTTTGTGTAACAATCAACTGTTATCTTTACCAACTCTTCTTCTGGTATCTGAAATAATTCTGGCATATTCTAGTTATACTCCCGTGGTATTTTCTTCTTTTTCTTTTCTTCGAGGACTTCTTCTTCTTCCTTTTCTTCTTCAGGGTTATATGAATTACATAATGGATATTCAACATGTTCATTCACAGTCGTAACTTCCTCCTCTTTATCATCAACTTCTTCCTCGACAGCGGCTGTTTCATCATCAAAATTCGGGTATTGACCAATATCAAAATCATTACAAGCAGGGTCTATTTCTTCTTCTGAAACATCATCAAAATCTGAGTATTGACCAAGATCAAAGTCCGGGTATTGACCAATATCAAATTTCGAATACTGACTTGTACTCACAATTTTTTCTATTGGCTCATCATCGTCTAATTGGTCAATACGAAAACCGGAATTTGGTGCTAAAAGTTTATTGGGATTTGGATTAGGGAAAGGTTGTGGGTTTTGAGATTGTGTTTGATATTGTGTTTGGTATTGAAAATGTGGTGAAACAAACTTTTCTTGGTGATGAAATTGTGGTGGAACCATTAAATTTTGAGGTTGATAACAACGTTGTACATTGTGAGCATCATAAGTTGGGGTTGAAGAACTTAGTTGATTACTACCCGCTACTGACCCAACTTCATTACTTCTAGGTTCAACAACATACAATGTAACATCATATTCTTGCGAAACACTAACGTAAGCAATGAATCGTTTAACATCTTCATTGTCGGTTAACAAATAAACTTTACCTTTTCTCTGATAAGATAACCTAAATACACTTAGGGGCTCTAAATTCAATTTCTTTGCAACACGTAACATTAGAGTTTCATAAATTAACTTTTTTAATGACAGTTTTAGTTGAAGATTCATGGGTAAAGGCATATATTGTAAAACACCACGAACATTCTCCCATGACCCTCCAAAACATAAATCTATCCAAACATGATCAACATTAGATGATTTCATTCTACAAATTGTAAATTAATTTACTAAACAAACGAGCTATAAACTAGATATCATCACTAACTTAGAGAAAAACATATCTTTATTAAGTTGATAGTTGATAATTTGGGAGAAAAATCATTGAAAAATTATATAAAAATAAAATTATGCAAAAAAAATTAGAGATGGGGAAGCATGTCGTTGGATATAGGAACGGATGTCGTCGGAGAGAGTGATAGATGAAGATGGAATGAGTTTCGATTTAGGGATTTATGTTATGAGTTGCTGCTGATGCTGCGTAGTTTATATACCCAAAACATTTATGTTGCGAAAATAAAAGCTGTTGTGAAATTAAAATTCGTGTTGCGAATTTGAAAATCGAGTTGCGAAAACAAAATTCGTGTTGCGATTTAGAAAATCTTGTTGCGAAAAGGAAACTTGTGTTGCGAAAAAGAAATTCGCGTTGCGAATTCAGAAATCGAGTTGCGAATTTGAAATTACGTGTTGCGAATTTGAAAATCGCGTTGCGAATTTGGAAAATCGTGCGAGAAAGAAATTCGCGTTGCGATTGCAGAAACTGAGTTGCGAATTTGGGAAAATCGCGTTGCGAATTTGGAAACTGTATTGCGAAATTAGAGTTCGCATTGCGAATTTGGTCATTTTCGCAAATCCAAAAAAAGTTGATTAAAATCGTATATTATAAGACATTTTCGGTCACTGAAGTTATTTTCTCTTGTTGTTATGTGTTATGACACTCAACATCTCTCGATGGGCCCCTTTCACTACAGTGGCCATATTTGAAAAATACATAAATACCCCACAATTCTTATTCTATTTATCTTTTATTAAGTTGATAAGTATTACATTTTCAAAATAAATATTAAAACTCAAATTTATACAAAACAGAATAATATAAATATTTTTTTATCACTTGACCAATTGATAAGATTTCATGTGCTCCATATAGCAATATACCACTTTTGCCTTTCTCATTAATACATCAGAAATTATTCTATTTTGCTCTAAGTTTGATTTTTTATTAGCAAATTGGAATAACAATATCAATAATCAGTTAATCTAGTGGATGAAATACTAAATTCTCTAAGCAATATAGAAATTTTAACTATGCAATGTCCCTTTCCTAATAAAATAAAAAGTTTTATACTTATTTTATAATTCTTAAAAGTTTAAGACCTAAAAATTATTTTAAAATAGTTTAACAATAATTTTTTTAAGCACAAGTGGTTTTGTTGTGTTGATAGAGGGCACAGCTCATTCGTATTTATTGTTAATGTTTGTATGCCATCTTATTTGAAAATTTTAAAATTTTATCTTTAAGTATAATTTTACCAATCAGTTTGAGTCATGTAGGTTCTATAATATTTAATCATAAATAATTTGAATTATTTAAATTTTAAAAACTGATATAACTCGAAAAGACATAACTCAATTTATTTACCACAGAGTTAGAAATAAATATTGACATAGGTCGAAATATTAGATTATTTAAAAAAATATAAGTACTTATTAGATATTTAAACTCAAAATTCAACATGAGTCAAACAACCTTAGTGATTAAGGGATTATTGTTATCCTTGAGGTGTTGAGTTTGAACACTGCGCATGTAGGGGTAGAAACGTTTATTGTCAAATAGTTGAGAGATTTTGTATAGAAATTACCTTATATTCACTGTGACATGGCAAAAGAAGCTAGCAAAAAATAAAGTACATCTGAGTTATCTACGGAATTCGAGTTCGACTTAAGAGTAATAAGAATGTGAATACAGCAAAAATTATCATTCTCGTCACTGGGGGACCAACAAAGGATGTTGAAGAATCAATTTGAATGATAAAACTGCAAGCTCCTTGTGAAGGATTCTGTGTCGTTTCCATGGCTAGACCTTGAAAATTACAGGCCATGCCGTTCTGGTTTTGGACCTGGTAGTATATGTTAAACGCATACGACGTGTTCCCGTTGGCGTCCAGGTTGTTACATGATGATCCGTACCCGAGCGCCGTGCAGTCCGACAACGTGCAGGCGTAGTTTATGTTGTCTGCAAGTTTGCTCAGGTCGTTTGCTTTTGGATTGAACACACACCATTTCTGAGGGAGGTATTCGACGTTCTGTGCGGCGATGAGGTACCGGTTTTGGTTCTGTCCGGACAGGTCCATCGGGAATTTAGGCTGCCCGTCGTACCTGTAGATACCCCAATGGCGCTCAAAGTTTCCCGGAGCGATGCTCTTTACATCTTCATCTAGAAGGCCGAATAAGTACACTTCTAAGTATCCTGGAAGCAGGGGTGTGCCGGTGTTGGCTGCAAGTCTAGGCATGAGCCCGTTGTAAAATCTCTTAGCATTAGCTATGTTCGCGTTCTTGTCCCCGTCCGTGGGCCAGCCGACTTCCCCGACAATAATCGTCATGTCCCCATGCCCTATGGCTCTCAAAGCCGAAACCAACGTATCGAAGTTGGCATCGAAAACATTAGTGTACTGAATCCCGTTATCGACGATCGGGTTTCCTCCATCAAAGAAAGCATAGTTGAAGGGGAAGTCATCATTTCCATAGAGACTGAGGAAAGGGTAGATGTTTATGGTCAAAGGCGCACCGTTCCTGGCTAGAAATTCAACTATCTGCGTCATGAGACCACTGATATCATGCCGGAACCGGCCAGCTGACGGAACAGGGTTGTTTTTTTGTGAGTTGTAGACATCGGCATTCGAGGGCACAGTAGCCTTTATCGAGTCTCCGACCCCGGCTTCGTTAAGCGCATTTTGAATGTTCTGAAGTGCAGGGAATGTGATGTTTATGAAGGAGCCATTGTAGGTTGTGAGAAACGGCTCATTGCCCATAGCTACATACCTGTCCTAAGACATAAAGAAATCACATAGATTAATTGCACTGCAGCAACAGCCAGAACATATTCTTTCCTCATCATTAACCCAAAGTAAAAACGAATATCATCCTTCAATCAGACGACGACACGCTTAGAATACGAAGAATTCGAACGAGACTATCCATAATAGTTACTACTTCATCAATAAACAAGCTTCCGGGAAACCTTAAACCATGCATATTGCTGTCATAAAATCACACAATGACCAATGCTAAAAACTCGCAACATACAATCAAGAGAGGTGCAATGACAAAAATATCTTTAAACTTTGATTAAATAGTCACTTTAGTAACTTTTTTCTTTTAACATTTTGATCAACATTTTATTTTGGGGCAAAAGGGCTATATGTGGATGAAGGTCATTAGTCAACAAACGATTAATGCTCTAAAATAGAGATTTTTTTGTCCTAAAATTAAACATTCGGTGCCAAGATGTTAAAAAGAGAGAATAGAGAACTATTCTGTTAAACATTAGGTGTCTTTTTACCTTAAAATGAAACGTTGGAAATAAAAATACTCCAAAAAAATTAAAGACCAAAATGTCTATTTAATCAAACATTAAATGTATTTTTTTTAGCATTATGCCAACAACAAACCTAACAATGCTTTGATGAATTTCAAAAGTTCTAATAAATAATGCATATAATGGTCAAATTCTAAAAATGGCCCCTGTATTAATGTCTCTTTTGATGCTTAAGAATAAAGCTGGCAAAGAAATTTAGCAAATATTGAAGGAATCTACTTTCATCTCAGTCTGGAATCAGTACTAAAGGGATAACAAGTTGAAATCCTGTGGTAGGATTCCTACCAAACTTTTCCCTTATGGTGATTCCAAGCAGAAGAAGCTGAGTTTCAAAGAAAATAAAGGGAGCAACTGAAAAAGTTAATTAGAGGGAAAATAACAAAAAAGTCCCTACAACTTGGTCACTGTACTTAATTGTCATTAAACTTTAGTTTGCTTTAAAGTAAACCCTAACCTTTAATTTGGGTACACTAAATACACAGTGCTTAGAATTTCAAGCAAAATAAAAGGGACGGTTACACTAAATCCCCTAGGAAGAAAGTGCATATTCATTATTTTGAAACATTTATTAAAATTAGTTTAATGTGAGAGGAGAAAAAAAAAGAAAATTTACGTATCTCTTCTTTTCTTAAAAAAAAAGTAAAATTTTAAACCTCATTTATAAATTTCTAATTTCGAAGTGCTTCATTTTATTAAGTTTCAAGAAGCATCAAAACTTTCAATAATAATATGCAGCTCCTATAATATGATAGTTTAATAGAGGGGGAGAAAGACAAGATATGATTATACTGTATAAAACTCTTTAATTTTAAACAATATAAATATAAATAATTAAAAATAATAAATATAAATAAATGAATGAGATTAACAGCTAAAAGTAAAAAAAAATTACGAACAAAAAGAAAATGTATTCATATAATGATCCGAATTATCCTAAATATATATAAAATTAAAAGATTTTATACCGTTTAAGAGATTCTATCTATCTATATATAAACTAAAAAAAAATTAAACTGTGTAGGTGGAACTTTATCGATATATATATATATATATATATATATATATATATATATATAAGAAAATAAGCAAACAAATAAGAAATTCTATAGAGGAATAGGAATAACTAAAACAAGAGGAATCATCAAGCAAATATCCATAGCCCCTATTGTCAAATTCAATCAAAACATATTGATAAACTATTCTATTAAAAAAACTAATCAAATAAAAATGATCATTCAATGCCAAAACTTTAGATATAGAACCAAAATTCCATAATGCCAGCCTCCAACAATTCCACAATAAGCATTCAATTAACCAAAATCCTCAATAAAAATACAATAATACCAATCAAATCCTCATAAGCACAAAATCATTAGATCAAGCTAGCAGCCATGATTTTTTTCTTTTAGTAAAGAAGTTAAAATTGAACTTACTTAATGTTAACACCTCCATTGAAACTATATCTTGTGACATTCCTCCTAACCCATTCTTTAGCACGTTTATAGCTATTCATGGCAAGGAGTTGATCATTTGGAATAGAAACCATGACTTCAATATCACTTCCTGCAAGAGCATTCATGGTGGTTGAATCCGCATCAAAGAGCTTAACTTTCTTTATTCCATTGTCCTTCAACATCTGAACCACCGTCTTGGGAGGCAGCCGGTGTGATGCCATGGTGCCCCAATTCACACCGAGACCATTGACAAAATCACAAAGGAAGAGAAGAGAAAGGAATATGGGTATTGATGTTCCTAAAAAATATGAATTTCCCATGGTTTTGTTCTAGCTTTTTGATGAAAAAAATTGAAAGCTTTGAAAGGGAACTTAATGGAAGGGGATGAAGATTGAGGCTAAAGGAGGTTGCTTTGAAAGATAAGAAAGAAAAGGCGGTTTAGAGAGGGATCAAGCCAAAATCAAAGCAATTCTCGTGACCAAAGGAGAGAGAGAATCCAATAAATGAAACTGAAAATTAAAAGAAAAATGCATGGTTTTCAGAACCGGATCGGTTAGCGAACCGATTCGACCGATCGGAAGAATCGGACGACGTCTAATTATTTAAAAAATTAAATAAAAATACCAAAAATATTTAATAAAAAATAATTTTTTATATCACAAGTCATATTCAAAGCAAGTCATAACATATATAAGTTAAAAACCATAAAATCAAGTGAAACAAAATGATTCAAATTAACTACAACATAATATTTAAAGTAAAACATATTAAATAATAAATATAATTATATAACTATAATTAAAAAATAAATTTGGGGTTAAAAAATTCATAACAAAATGATATTGTTTGGTTTAATTTTTTTTTAAAACAATCTCACATGGCTAAGAAACATAGAAGAGCATCCCAAAAGTCTAAAGAGTAAAAATATGAGAACAAAACAATCTCATATTGCTAAGAAACATAGAAGCGCATCACAACTAACTTCTATAAATAATAGAGGTAATTTGGCATTCAAAATCATGGAGCCTTTTGGTGAGCATTGAGTGAACTATTATTTCACTTCAATCAAGCTCGAATTTTAGGCTTCAATCTGTTATTGGTGGAAATTAACCCGAATTCCACAACAATTGGTATCAGCGCTCTTGGTTTATTTTAGTATGCTCTGTGGTTGCGGCTTAGGCTGATCTTCCACATCAGAAAAAATTTCCTTGGGATAATTGACATTCTGCATTGGCAGCTATTAAATAGAATTTGTAGCAGAAATGATAGACGCTTCTTCATCTTCAATTTTAGCAAGAAATGTTGTGACAAATGTTAGATTTGCAGTGGAGATTTTTGATGGCACCGGACATTTCGGCATGTGGTAAAGTGAGGTTCTAGATGCCCTATTTCAGCAGGGTCTAGACATTGCTATTGAAGGAGAGAAATCAGATGATGTTGAGGAGAAAGAATGGAAGAAGATCAATAGAATGACATGTGGTACTATTCGATCGTGTATTTCTATAGAGCAGAAGTATACATTTTCTAAGGAAACTTCTGCAAGTAAATTGTGGAAGGCACTGGAGGAGAAATTTTTGAAGAAAAGCGGTCAGAACAAACTCTACATGAAAAAGAGATTGTCCCGCTTCAACTATGTACCAGGTACCACTATGAATGATCACATTACTAGCTTTAATCAGCTGGTGACTGATCTGATGAATATGGACGTGACTTTTGAAGACGAAGATCTGGCTCTGATGTTGATGGGATCACTTCCTGATGAGTTTGAGTATCTTGAAACTACTCTACTTCATGGGAAGGTTGATGTGTCTCTCAGTGAAGTAACTGCTGCCTTGTATAGTTATGAATTGAGAAAGAAAGACAAACAAGAAAACACAAGTGTCGAAGCAGAAGCTCTTGTTGTTAGAGGCCGTTCGAAAAGTCAGAATAAAGGAAGCAGAGGGAGATCGAAGTCAAAGTCCAGATTGAGCAAAGATGAATGTGCCTTTTGTCGAGAAAAAGGGCACTGGAAGAAAGAATGTCCCAGGCTAAAGAATAAAGGCAACCCTGAAAGGGGAAAGGCTATCTCAGAATCAAATGTGGTCGAATATGATGATGAAGATTCAGATTTCACATTCGCTGTTATGCCATCAAACAGCTGTTCCAGTTCATAGTTGTTAGATTCAGCTTGTAGCCACCATATGAACCCCAATAGAGAATGGTTCTTTAATTTTAAAGAACTAAAAGGTGGAATTGTCTACACAACAAATAATTCCCCTATTGACACACTTGGGATTGGTTCAATTCGCTTGAGGAATCAGGATGGATCAATCAGAACCTTAACAGGTGTCCATTATGTACCAGATTTAATGAGAAATCTCATCTCTGTGGGAACCTTAGAGTCAAAAGGTTTATAAGTGAGGCCAAAAGATGGGATTATGAGGATTATCTCTGGTGCACTGGTGATAATGAAGGGAATCTGAAAAAGAAACAATGTGTATTACTTTCTGGGTAGTACAATTGTTGGGACAGCAGCAGTGGCAGCTTCTATTGATGAACATGAGTCAGAAGCAACCAGGTTATGGCATATGCGCTTGGGCATGTTGGTGAAAAATCCTTGAAATTACTCATAGATCAAGGATTATTGAAGGGTGCTCGGACTTGCAAATTAGCTTTTTGTGAGCATTGCATCAAAGGGAAGAAGACGAGGGTGAAATTTGGAACAACAATCCATGATACTAAAAGTATTTTGGATTATGTTCATTCAGATGTATGGGGGCCTTCCAAGACAACTTCATTGGGAGGAACACATTATTATGTCACCTTTGTTGATGATTTTTCCCAGAGAGTTTGGGTGTATCAAATGAAGACAAAGGATGAGGTGCTAGGATTTTTCCTTAAATGGAAAAAGATAATGGAGACTCAAACAGGCAGAAAAATCAAACGTCTCCGTACAGACAATGGTGGAGAGTACAAAAATGATTCATTTCTGAAAGTCTGTGAAGAGGAATGTATTATCAGGCACTTCACTGTCAGAGGTACACCAAAACAGAATGGAGTGGCAGAGCGTATGAACCGGACATTAGTCGAGAAGGTTCGGTGTATGTTGTCTAATGCTGGGTTAGGCAAAGAATTTTGGACTGAGGCTTTGGTCTATGCTTGTCACCTTGTCAACCGCTTACCATCGACTGCTATTGGTGGTAAAACACCATTAGAGAAATGGTTTGGAGTACCTGCTACAGATTATGATTCCTTACATGTGTTTGGTTCCACTGCATACTACCATGTTAAGGAGTCAAAGCTTGATCCAAGAGTAAAGAAGGCGATCTTTATGGGGATCACCTCTGGTGTGAAAGGCTATCGTCTTTGGTGTCCAGAAATAAAGAAAATAATCTTCAGCAGGGATGTTACCTTTGATGAATCTACCATGTTGAGAAAGGTGACTTAAGAAAAATTGGACCAGACAAATGGAACTCCCAAACAGGTGGAGTTTGAAGGAAGCAAGATTGTCCAAACCAGTAAAGAAACTGATGTTGACTCTCCTATGGTAGAAGAAGAGTCAGATGAAGAAGAGGTTCAGACCCAAGAACCTCCACAGCAACATGAATCAATTGCACTCAGAAAGAGAAAGAGGACCATTAGACAACCTACTCATTATGCTGATATAGTCTCTTTTGCATCACCAATTGCAATTGATGACATTCCTGCCACTTTTAATGAAGCAGTTCAAAGTTCAGAACATAAAAAGTGGAGGATCGCCATGAATGAAGAAATGCAATCCCTTCAAAAGAATCAGATTTGGAAACTAGCTAGTCTTCCGAAGGGAAAAAAGGCAATTGGGTGTAAGTGGGTATATGCAAAGAAAGATGGATTTCCTTACAAGAATAACATCCGCTACAAAGCAAGATTGGTGGCTAAAGGCTACGCTCAAATGGAGGGAGTTGATTATAATGAAGTATTTTCTCCAGTTGTAAAACATTCCTCCATCAGAATTTTTTTGGCTTTGGTAGCACAGTTGGACTTGGATAAGGAAATCTACATGACTCAGCCAGATGGATTAAAAGTTTCTGAAAAAGAAGAGATGGTGTGCAAATTAGAAAAATCGTTGTACGGATTGAAGCAATCTCCAAGGCAGTGGTACAAGCGATTTGACAAGTTTATGATAGGGCAGAAGTACACAAGAAGCAAATATGAGCATTGTGTGTATTTACGCGAGCTAGAAGACGGATCCTATATATATCTTATTCTTTATGTTGATGATATGTTGATAGCTTCCAGGAGTTAGATAGAAATTGTGAAACTAAAGACTCAATTGAATAGGGAGTTTGAGATGAAGGATCTTGGTGAAGCGAAGAAGATTCTAGGCATGGAGATATCAAGGGATAAGAAATTGGGGAGGCTTTGTTTGTCTCAGAAAGAATATCTGAGGAAGGTACTAAAACGTTTTGGCATAAATGAGATGTCAAAACCAGTTAGTACACCTCTTGCTCCTCATTTCAAGCTCGGTGCATCAATGTCACCTAAGGATGATGCAGAATGGGAATACATGTCAAAGGTTCCGTATGCAAGTGTTGTTGGTAGCTTGATGTATGCAATGGTGTGTACGAGACCCGATATTTCACAGGCAGTTGGGGTTATGAGCAGGTATATGCATGATCCTGGAAAGGAGCATTGGCAAGCTATGAAATGGATTCTGCGGTATATTCTGAACACCGTAGATGTTGGTTTGGTCTTTCAGTAGGACAAACAAGACGGTCAGTGTGTAGTTGGGTATTGTGATTCAGACTATGCAGGTGATTTGGACAAGCGTCGATCAACTACTGGTTATGTGTTTACATTTGCAAAGGCATCAGTCAGTTGGAAGTCCACCTTACAGTCAACAGTGGCTTTGTCTACTACAGAGACAGAGTATATAGCAGTTATAGAGGCTGTGAAGGAGGCAATTTGGCTTCAAGGGTTGCTTGGTGAATTGGGAATGGAAAAAAAACACATCAAAGTGTACTGTGACAGTCAGAGTGCTATTCATTTAGCAAAGAACCAGGCTTACCATTCAAGGAAGAAGCACATCAATGTTCGATATCACTTTGTACGAGAGATTCTAGAAGAAGGTGGAGTCATAATCCAGAAGATTCGGACCACTGAGAATCCTACTGATATGTTGACAAAAGTGGTAACTGCGGTCAAGTTTAAACATTGTTTAGACTTGGTCAATATTGTTACAAATTAAAAGATTATTTTTTAGAGATGTGTGTGGAATTTGCCAAGGTGGAGATTTGTTGGTTTTTGGTAAAGTCCCACATTGGTTGTGTATAAGGAGGAGGAAAAATTCTTTTGTTATAAATAAAATCATCATCCTCCTTAGTTAATCATCCCACAAATATAAGCATTCTTCTATATTAAAGGCTA